AAAAAATAATAATAATAACTGAAATATTTTCCTAGTGTTGGTTAATAATCCGTGTGTCATTCGTTCATGTGCTTTTCAAAATAAAAACAAAAATAAGAAAAAAGAAAATACAAATATTGTCTTTATTATTTGTCTCTAAAACCAAAAAAAAAAAAAGTACAGTTTTTGATTTTGTGTCTTAAATGAATACTGGAAAAAAAACAAAAACCAAAAAAACAAACAGATAATCACCGTTTCCAGTTTCTGTGACTTAAACTGTGATGCCAGACTTTTGCACCGCCTACGAACTGACCAGGTCTAAACCAGGCCTGTTTAAGTCCTGGTTTAGACCTGGTTTAGTTCTGTTTTAGTCTTGGTTCAGTCCTGGTTTAGACCTTGTTCAGTCCTGTTCAGTCCAGGTTCAGTCCTGGTTTAGACCTGGTTTAGTCCTGTTTAAGTCCTGTTTTAGTTCTGGTTTAGTCCTGGTTTAGTCCATACGTGGCACAAAAGTTTGGCATTGCAGTTTAAATCACAGAAATGGGAAACAGCCGTTATCCTCCGTTTTTTTTTTTGTTTTTTTTTTTTTTTTTTCCCCATTATTCATTTAAACACAAAACTGAAAGCTGAAAAAAATGAATCATTATCCTTTTTTTTCATTTTGGTTTTGGAGACAAATAATGAAGCAAGCTGCTTCTTCAATGACTGAAGAATCAGCTTGGATGAGCTGTTTTCAAACGTTTTCAACCAAATAAACTTTTGTCCACTTGACAAATTGAATTTCTCCTTTGCCCTACAGATAAACTCTACATTTTGATTGGAAACATACAATAATTTTAATTCACTTTTAAATTTGTTATTATTGGTTTCTGATTTTAAATCAGCTCGTAAACACCTGCCCCCATCTACCCTGTCTACTCTACTGTATACCATCGACAAAATCTACCCCATCCACCCCTTTACTCCATTTACCCCACCATACCCCATCCACCCCTTTACTCCATTTACCCCACCATACCCCTTCCACCCCTTTACTCCATTTACCCCACCATACCCCATTCCACCCCTTTACTCCATTTACCCCACCATACCCCCTTCCACCCTTTACTCCATTTACCCCACCATACCCCATCCACCCCTTTACCCCATTTACCCCCCCACCATACCCCTTCCACCCCTTTACTCCATTTACCCACCATACCCCTTCCACCCCTTTACTTCCATTTACCCCCATCCATACCCCTTCCACCCCTTTACTTCCATTTACCCCACCATACCCCATCCACCCCTTTACTCCATTTACCCCACCATACCCCTTCCACCCTTTACTCCATTTATCCCCACCCATACCCCCATCCATCCCCTTTACTCCATTTACCCCACCATACCCCTTCCACCCACCCCTTTACTCCATTTACCCCACCATACCCCTTCCACCCCTTTACTCCATTTACCCCACCATACCCCTTCCACCCCTTTATTCCATTTACCCCACCATACCCCTCATCCCACCCTTTACTCCATTTACCCCACCATACCCCTTTCCACCCCTTTACTCCATTTACCCCACCATACCCCTTCCACCCCTTTACTCCATTTACCCCACCATACCCCTTCCACCCCTTTACTCCATTTACCCCACCATACCCCATCCACCCCTTTACTCCATTTACCCCACCATACCCCTTCCACCCCTTTACTCCATTTACCCCACCATACCCCATCCACCCCTTTACTCCATTTACCCCACCATACCCCTTCCACCCCTTTACTCCATTTACCCCACCATACCCCATCCACCCCTTTACTCCATTTACCCCACCATACCCCATCCACCCCTTTACTCCATTTACCCCACCATACCCCTTCCACCCCTTTACTCCATTTACCCCACCATACCCCATCCACCCCTTTACTCCATTTACCCCACCATACCCCTTCCACCCCTTTACTCCATTTACCCCACCATACCCCTTCCACCCCTTTACTCCATTTACCCCACCATACCCCTTTCCACCCCTTTACTTCCATTTACCCCCACCCATACCCCTTCCACCCCTTTACTCCATTTACCCACCATACCCCTTCCACCCCTTTACTCCATTTACCCCACCATACCCCTTCCACCCCTTTACTCCATTTACCCCACCATACCCCATCCACCCCTTTACTCCATTTACCCCCACCATTACCCCTCCACCCCTTTACTTCCATTTACCCCACCATACCCCATCCACCCCTTTACTCCATTTACCCCACCATACCCCTTCCACCCCTTTACTCCATTTACCCCACCATACCCCTTCCACCCCTTTATTCCATTTACCCCACCATACCCCATCCACCCCTTTACTCCATTTACCCCACCATACCCCTTCCACCCCTTTACTCCATTTACCCCACCATACCCCTTCCACCCCTTTACCCCCCTACCATTTACCCCACCATACCCCTTCCACCCCTTTACCCCTTTACCATTTACCCCACCATACCCCATACCCCACCCCTTTACTCCATTTACCCCACCATACCCCTTCCACCCCTTTACTCCATTTACCCCACCATACCCCATCCACCCCTTTACTCCATTTACCCCACCATACCCCCCATCCCCTTACCATTTACCCATTCACCATACCCCATCCACCCCTTACTCCATTTACCCCACCAATTACCCCTTCCACCCCTTTACTCCATTTACCCCACCATACCCCTTCCACCCCTTTACTCCATTTACCCCAACATACCTCATCCACCCCTTTACTCCATTTACCCCACCATACCCCATCCAGGACCAGGACCACTGCGTTGCCAGATCTGACACAATGACTTTGTTAAAAAAACACTGACAGAGGATTGACTGTAGACTCTCCATTAAAAAAAAACAAAAAACCAAGTTGACCATTGAGATTTTGAAACAGCTGGATCACGGTTTGACAAAAATTTGATTAATTCCCCAGCCCTAAACACACAGACACACAAAGTAAATGCATCCAAATGATCTGAGACCAATAACGCATGTAGCGATAAACAACAATAAAAAGATTTCTAACATGTTTTAACGTCATTCCTTCATCAAAAACATGTCTGAAGAGGTTTTAGATGCCATCCGTGCATGTTTCAGTAATCTAGTGATCTCTCTCATGCACTATTTCGACCTTCCTTACAGTTCGCAGTCCGAACCCAGACCTTTTGTTCAAGACTCCCAAATCCAAATAAATGAAGAGCACAAGCAAAAACTGATATCTGTTTTGAAAAGTTGCCACATTTTTTTTCTTTTCTTTTAATTTCATTACCATCTTCCAGAAATACGATAACACAGAACGGTTAGAATAATATTTCAATTCCACTAAAATACATTTGGCTTTTAAAAATATCACTATACTAAGAGCGTCCGATGACTTTTTCAAATGGCACTTATCTGTTTTTGCAAATTAACTCTTCAATTTGAATTAAACAACTAGATTTATTTTATTTTGTTTTCACATATACTTTTAATTTACTCAAAAAAAAAAAAAAGATTATATTGCAACCAGATATTGAAATTAGGGGTGTCAGATTATCGCGTTAATTGCCATTAATTAATTACAGTCATATTTAGCGCGTTATGTTTTTTAATCGCGTTAATCTCATTTTTAATCTCTAACTTTAGTGTTTCTGTATGCGATTTGCTTTATTATAAAACCTGTTTTTATGTGTTGTTGGGACAACAACACACACAAAAAACATATTTATAATTTTTTTTATTTCGGTAATTCCACTCATTGCCGGAAACCCACACAAAACGCGCGCAGTAAGAGCGATGCAAACGTCATGTTCACGTTCGCGGCGTCAGTCGCACAATGGACGAGGTGGAAGAGCCAGTAGAACAGAGAGCAGCAGTGCACAGGGAAAAACACATTCGTGTCTTGGAAATTATTCTCCCGAAGTGAAATATAAAAGAAAATAACAAATATAAAATCGCCTACAACTTAAATGTCACTGGTGAAAACAACCTGCATAGGCTCATGATGTCTGCACTACTGTCCTATAGTGACCTGCCACATGAGGGGACACGCACACAAACACACACAAACACAAACACAAACACAAACACACACAACACACACAAACACAAACACAAACAAACACACACACACACACACAAACACAAACACAAACACACACAAACACACACCTTCATCATCGTCATTAACCTGAGAACGCGCGGACCACGTTTCCTTCCGTAGTTACTGCGTGGACACTGACCTGATCCCGTGAGCCGCGTGTGGATCGTGTTTTCTCGCGTACGCTGCGTAAACTGCGCTTCCTCCTGTGCGCCTCTAAACCAGAACTAACACCAAGACTAAAACTAGGACTAACCCAGTCCAGGACTAAACCAGGTCTAAACCAGGACTAAACAGGACTAAACCAGAACTAAAACCAGAACTAAAACCAGGTCTAAACCAGGTTTAAACCAGGACTGAACCAGGACTAAACCGGAACTAACACCAGGACTAAAACCAGGACAAGCCCATTCCAGGACTAAACTAGGACTAAAGTTGGACTTAAGCAGGTCTAAACCAGGACTAAAACAAGGACTAAAACCAGTGATCTCATATATAAAACATTTCTCTATCAATAATATTTTTAATATGGTTAAGGAAAGACTGGACTTTTTATTGTCTTTAAGTAAACAAAAGTTATTATGTTCAGATTTCCTCGTCTTTGCTACTTTACAGCAAACAGTTTCTTATTCATGGAGACTTGGGCTCAACAGCCAATTTGGAGAGATTTGTTAAACAATAAATGACTTTATAAAGTCACTTTTTTTGTTCTATATCAGTCTTTTGATCTGCCACAATAATGTAATAATGAATTTAAATGAAAATACCTCAAATTGAAGGCTTTTCTCAGCAATTTTTAGGTGAGATTAAAATTAGATTAATTAGATTAATTAATTACAGATCATAATTAATTAATCTCTCAATTTTTTTAATCGCATGACGGCACTAATTGAAATATTAAGTGTGTTTCGTACTCACTTGACAGGTTTGTTCTCCGCGTCGGGGTCCCTGGCGGAGACCACGCCCACGGAGCTGCCGGACGCCGTGTCCTCGTGCACCTCGATGACGTAGGGGCTCCTCATGAACACGGGGGGCTCGTCCACGTCCTCCACCGTCACCCTCACCGTGGCGTAGTCCTTAAACTCCACCCCCTGGATGAAGCGCATGTCCAGGTACGTGTTCTTCACCTCCACGCGGAACTCGTAATCGCGCTTCGTCTCGTAGTCCAGTCTCTGCAACAACAACAAACAAAAAAAACACCGTGGTTTTGAACTTGTGGTCGTTTTGGAAAGTAGTTATGTAAGATAAAACAGACAGTATTTTGTGGAGATTTCAGTGTTGCAACGCCAAAGTACAAGAACAACAACAGAACGGAACGTATCGAAAATATTCAACGGAAATAACAATACCAAAACTGAACCGTTAAAGCATCTGCCCCATCTACAAAAAACACCTCATGTGCCCCACGTTTTGATCATTTTATTTGAGTTTTATTTATTTATTTATTTATTTTTAGACCTTTTGAAAGTAGTTCAATAAGATAAGAGAGATATTTGTTCCAGAATGTGGAGATTTCAGAGTGCAAGTGTCAAAATATGCCGCATTAAAGCTGCCGTTTGTAAATAAATGGTTGTATTCTCACATATGACCACTAGATGCTGCCTATGTTACTGCTGTCTGAGAGTGTGACAGCTTTGGCCTGACAGAAGAAGACCAGAGGGCACAGGTGAGGGGGAAGGGGACAACAGGGTTTAACATCTAAAAATTTGCCATTGAAAACAAATCCGTGTATCATTCGTTCATTCATTCGTTTTTCAAAATAAAACCAAAAAAAAAAAAAAAGAAAATGAAAAAAAAAAGAACAATTTTCTTCATTATTTGTCTCCAAAACCAAAATGAAAAAAACTGATAACGATTCGTTCGGGACTGAGACCGGGACCAGACCAGGACTGAGACCAGGACTGAGACAGGGACTGAGACTAGTTTAGAACTGGTTTAGACCTGGTTTAGACCTGGTTTAATCCTGGTTTAGACCTGGTTTAGATCTGGTGTAGTCCTGGTTTAGACCTGGTTTAGTCCTGGTTTAGACCTGGTTTAGATCTGGTTTATTGGACCTGGTTTAATCCTGCCTTTAGACCTGGTTTAGATCTGGTTTAGTCCTGGTTTAGTCCTGGTTTAGACCCGGCTGGTTTAGACCTGGTTTAGATCCTGGTTTAGTTTTAGTCCTGGTTTAGACCTGGCCTTTAGACCTGGTTTAGACCTGGTTTATTCCAAGTTCAGTTCTAGTTTAGATGTAGTTTAGTCAGTTTAGTCCTGGTTCAGTACTAGTTTAGACCTGGTTTAATCTTGGTTTAGTCCTGGGATCATTCCTGGATCAGTTCGTATGCGGCCGTAATCCGTTTTTTTTTTTTCCAGTATTCATTTAGACACAAAACTGAAAATTGAAAAAAAACAAAAACAAATTGTTATCTTTATTTTATTTATTTATTTATTTAATTTCTATTTCCTACAGTGAGTAAAAGTGATATCGAGTCACATTTTTTTTCTCAGTAACTCTCCTAATTGAGATAATTTCACCCATCAACCCATAAATGTTGCGTTATAATTTGCAGTAAACAGTATTGAAACGCAACGAGAAACAGAGGAAGTACCGGCTAGAATCTAACAAATCTGTAAAAAAGAAAAAAAACACAGTAAAAAGCACTAGTATTAATTGTTGTAAATGTGTGGAAATCCATTCAAATTATGCAAAGCTGCCAAATTACAAAACGTAACCACACCGCGCCTTTTCTACGTCTCCTCTCTGAAACAAACGCCCGAACTCAGCGAGACCTCCAGTACTTTAGTAAAAACCACAGAGCAGATGTTATTGGATGTGGAGACAGACTGGTCTTGTCTTTAGTGAGCGATGGCGCTGTGAGCGGGAGCATGTCAGGTCATAAGTTGTACTCTTGTTTTATTGAAGCTCGCTGTGGTTTAGAGAACTGGGCCAGACAAGTCCAACTGTGCCTAAAATTAACCTCCTGCTGAAAGTTAGATGAGATTTTCCACACTTTTAGTTCAGAAAAGCCACCAAAGTTCATCTTCTGTCTCAAATGAAACTTAAGAGTCTGAACCAGATTCTTTTTTTTCTTTTTTTTTTTCTGTGTATTTGAAGAAAATGTGTCTCGCCCTAGTACAGATATGTTTTATGAGGATTAGGGACGGGCAGAGAGTGAGACAGTGCGGTGGGCGTTGGACGAGGGGGTTCGCGTCCACCCACTTTTCCCGACGTGAGATTTTAAAAAAACAAAACAAATATAAAAAAGCTACAATTTAAATGTCAAACCGCAGCGATTGGCAACGGTGAAAACAAACTGCTTAGGCTCATGAAATGTGCAGGACTGAGACATGAGGGACTGACTGAACCAGGTCTAAACCAGGACTAAACCAGGACTAAACCAGGACTAAACCATGACTGACTGAGTGCTGTCTTTGCAGACACCCTGCTCCACGGACTTCAGGGTTCTCTCTCTCGCTCTCAAGTCCAAGATTAGTCCTGGTTTAGACCTGGTTTAGTCTCGGTTTAGTCTTGGTTTAGTCCTGGTTTAGACCTGGTTTAGAACTGGTTTAGTCCTTGGTTTAGTCTTGGTTTAGACCTGATTTATTTTTGGTTTAGACCTGGTTTAGACCTGGTTTAGTTCTGGTTTAGTCCTGGTTTAGTCCTGGTTTTGACCTGGTTTAGTCAGTATTGGTTTAGACCTGGTTTAGGCCTGGTTCAGTTCTGGTTTAATCCTGGTTTAGACCTGTTTTAGTCCTGGTTCAGTTCTGGGTTAGTCCTGGTTTATCCCTGGTTCAGTTCTGGTTTAGACCTGGTTTAGTCTTTTAGTCTTGGTTTAGTCCTGGTTTAGATCTGGTTTAGTCAGTTCTGGTTTAGACCTGATTTAGACCTGGTTCAGTTCTGGTTTAGTCCTGGTTCAGTTTCTGGTTTTTTAGACCCTGGTTTAGACCTGGTTCAGTTCTGGTTTAGACCTGGTTTAGACCTGGTTCAGTTCTGGTTTAGACCTGGTTTAGACCTGGTTCAGTTCTGGTTTAGACCTGGCTTAGAGCTTATTTTGTCCTGGTTTTACATCTCGTTTTATGACCCACTTTTGATTTGAAATTTGAGCTCATTCATTAAAAAAAATATATAATTTTAGCTTTATGCATTTTAACCCTTTTTTATTTATTGTTTTAATTTATGATTGACTGTCTTTTATTGTATTAATTTGTCTGTGCAGCACTTCGGAAACTGTCATGTTCATAAAACGTGCTATATACAGTAAATAAATCTGATTATATTGGATGTTATGATAAAACTTGTACATTTTAAATAGAAAGATAGAATAATATAAAGCAAAAAAAAACTTGGAGACATTGTTTACCAGGTTGAAAATAAAATAAAGTAAGATATTTGACAAAAAAGTAGTTCTTGAGGTGAGCTGAACTGACTTAAATTCAGAAACTTTTAACTCGGTATGTTTCATTTTGATGTGTTTAATCATGTCTGACAATAATTCATCTGTCCAGTTTTATTCCCACAATGTGAAAAGCGAGTTTTTCAGTCGTTTTATGAACACTTCCCGCTCCCGTTTTGTCGTATAGTTCTGCAGTGCAATGTAAAATGTAAAATGTTTTGCTGGCTGTATTCAAACCACTCCAATTTCCACTGAAAGGAAATGCATTTTTACCAAACAAATTCGCCACTTTAAAACATCTAAGTGGAAATTGCTTTTTCGTAACTTACTTTTTTTTTTTCTTCTTCTTCTTCTTCTTCGTTTGGTGTCTTGGATTGAGAGACTCTTTTACAGAATGGAAAACTCAACTAAACAAAAATGTTCACAGGACGAGTCTAAAACATGTTTAAACTTTAAATGTGGTCTGTAATATATTGTTAAAGATAAGATACGTAATTTCTGACACGTTTGTTTTGTTGAGTTGTGTTTACTCAAAGTTTTAGAAATATCCTACTGACTTAATTATGTCAAGTTGCTGTAACATGTTCTTCTTTTTGAGTAATTTTAACTACATGTATATATATTTTTTTTAATTAATGGAACGATTGTGAGTATAAGTGAACGTAACTCAAAAAAATAGATGAGGTATAACTTAGAAGAATTAAGTAATTAAATGCCGAGAATGATAAACTCTTGTTATTTCTATTGTTTTAAAATAGGTATGATTTAAAAATAAACTATACTGTACATGCTAAAAAACAATATAATTTCAAAGCGCTTCACCGACGAAGTACTAAAATCTATCATAACAAAACAAATTGCAATCAAACAACATAATAATTAGATCAAGGTAAATGGTCTGAAATGCACATGGACTAAATGTATTATTTTATTTAATTTGTATTGTTTGTTTTTTTTTTTGTTATTAACTGCAAATATGTGACTTTTAAGTTCATCATTCTGGTAACTTATTTGGGTTTACAGTGTGATTTTATTGCTTTGCCTAAAATTATCCATGATAGGGCATTATTTTTCTTCATGGAGACATTTTAAGCTATCAGGACCATATTGTGTTATTTTCTAATTTTCTGTTAAAATGTTGTTTGCTCATCACAAAGAGACCTGAACACATGTTTAACGCACAAACGCTGCATGTTTAGGCTGAGTTATTCTCTCAGACAGAAAACACTCGGTTCCACCTTGTGATATGTTGTAATTAAGGATGTAACAATAACCAAAATATCGTTATGTCGAGTCGTCAAAAGTCTCACAATAATACCGTGGGCTGTCACAATATATCAAATCACAAGTTCCTTTGCTTATATGCATGGTTTTATAGTAGCAACAGCTTATAAACATTGGGAACTACATATCCCATGATTCATTTCAGTGCAGACAATGGAAAACCATGTTGTTTACTTTAATTCTTGGGATTATGATGGAAATAATTCACACCAAAATCTTGTCAAGGTATTTTAAAAGCAAAAAAAGTGTCATATCTACAATTCTATCAGCCTCTTCAAAATATCGAGATGTATATCATGATAATATCGTACCGAGAGATTTGGATATCGTTACATCCCTAGTTGTAATACAAGAGGTTTTCCAGGTGTTCCATTTCTCCTTTGCCACGGATTCTACTAACCTGATTCATCAGACGTTTCACTTTGTGGAAACCGTCAGACCTCGCAGCATTACGATTCGTTCGCTCGACGGTAGGTGGGTACTTTTTTAATTTAACCAATCTCTGCTGTTTAGTTGTGACATATGTAATGTGCCAAATCCCGTAGGAAGAAGGGCAATAACGTCTTTCCCCTTGATAAAATTCACCAAACATTCTCTTTGTTCCGGCTTTAAATCCTCGATCTCGGGAATCGTCGCCAACACAGAATGTCTGTCTTCGTCTACATCCATCTCGGCCGTTTTGTTTACTGTTGTGCTGTTCCACAAAAGGGACCCAGACAGACGCTTGAGTTTGACGTTATGGCTTCACACCTCTTCGCTGATTGGTCTACAACTTCCGGGACTTTTTGCATATTCTGATTCCTGACCTAGTCGCTGGAGAGAAATTAAATTGAGCGGAGGCACTAGGTGATTCTACTTGGATGACTGAGGGATTCTACGCATTCTTGAAAAAAAAAAAAAAAACACCCTAAAGTTATTAAACCCAAGCTACATATGTTTATTTTAATGTCATACTGTGGAACATTTCTTGCAAATACATACATAAAAGTAGGCGGCGGCCCCAGCGCCAGAAAATAAATTGTTGGAATTGTAACTTCTTCTTCTCGTGCCGTCAACAATGCCTAGCTTCACTTAATGCGCCAATACTCGTGGGCTGTTAAAGTCTTCATATTAACTAACTGCTGTGTTTGTTTTGTTTGGTGAAAATGAAAAGCATCAGAGCCACTCCAGAGGGATCTCTCCACTAACACTATAGCGTCTGTTTCCGTGGCGATGTGTGAAAACATGTCACTTCTCTCAAGCAGCCTCTGATTGCCTATTCATTCTTAATTAGCGACCTGGCTGCTAGCACTGCCTGGCACCGCTCTATAAAACACAATGCACGCAATTAGCAGCAAGAAATACCAACAGAAGTTACTGAGAGTGGATATAGGGCTGTCAAAAAGATAAAAAATCAGATACTAATCGATACTAAAACTATAGTATCGAAGCTAGACACTTATTTGAGCAGGTATCTATACTAAAATCACATTAACTCTTTCCCCCATGAAGACGACATTTGACGACCCCCCTGAACCCTTAATGACGACTTTTGACACCTCCGCCGTATCACTAAAGACGAGATTTGACGACCTTTAGAAATGGCTCGGTTTTTCACATTTAAACAGAGACTGTGACAGGTCGGGGCCACTACAACCCACACTAGACTGACCAATAGGATTCAAGGATATGTTTTCGCCGATTTTTTTTCCGAAGTTAATCGAAATAGTGACGATGGTAGCTTCCGGAAAAAACACAACACAAAACACGTGCAATGGAAAGATCGCGGCGCTGCGGCGCACAGTTTTAGAAATAATGAGGAGCGGACGTATTTTATGGATAAGTTTAGAGAAAGTGACTTTTATAGATTTCAAAGTGATGATGTTGAAGTTGATTATAAAGTGGAAAACAGCGATAGCGACGGACTTTCGGGGAGAAGGTGAGATGCCGCTGATGCGTCTGTGTGGAGTCCTGCGATGTCCGAACAAACTATCTGAGCTTTATACTCGATTATGAACCAAAATTGCCCTGAAATCTGGATGTTGCTCCAGGCCAGTCCTTTAAAATATTTCAGTCTTTTTTTCCAAGATGCGATGTTTATAACAGAATCACTACAGAAAAAAACGCTTATGCGGAGCTCTGCACACGAGCAAAATAACCAAGATGACAAATACTGGACACAAACTGACGGGGAAGAGTTTTATTATTATATTATCATTATTATAAAATAAGCTAAATTAGTTGAATAAGCTAAATGAGTTGAATAAATAAAATAAGTTGAATAAGCTAAATGAGTTGAATAAGTTAAATGGAAAAAAATGTATTGGGTGCACACAGGTGAACAACAGGTAAAAACAGGTGCACACTTGGCTATACTGTATCTGGTGATATGAAATCTGTTTAAATACTTTGACAAAGTATATTTTTTATTTTTTTATGAATATAGTACTCAGAACATGCAGATATCAGATGCTGAATGTAGTTTTTTGTTTTCGAGTTTGCACCTGACCAGGTAAACTCTCATTTTCAGTGAGCTGTTATACACCTATAAATGAGTTGAATCACATTTAAACATCCATAAATGAAGAGTTCAGAGTCTAAGGTTTCCAGAGATACAAATATGTCTGTGTTACAATTAAGTTCATGAGTGTAAAAATCATTTATAATCACTCGTGGAAGTCTGTTTTCTTTTATGCAATTATGCTCTATGGGTGTAGCCCTAGTAACATATGTATGGGTTGTTCCTAGTCGGCGTCCAGGGGGGAAAGAGTTAACAAGACAGAAATGAAGCATTCCTGAATAGTTTTAGAATAATCTTGAGCTGTGTCAGAACAAGTATAAGAGCACATACACCCAGGGACCACAGATATAAGACCAGATGGTAATATAAAAGAATGTACTACCATTTAATGTTGAAAAGTAGATTGTGTATATATACAGACAGAAACATCTGTGCAGAGTACGGGCTGGAGACCCCAGGGTCAAGGTGGGAAAAACCTCGAAAGGTCGTGGAGAACGACCAAGCCAAGATCCTGTGGGACTTCCAGATACAGACGGACAGGATGTTGACAGATGGTGAACCAACAAGACAGAGTGATGGTGGATAAAAACAGAGCAGAGCCGTGGTGGTGGACATCGCAATACCAAGAGATGGTAATATAAGGAAAAAGGAACACAAGAAACCACACAAGGTCCTAGGCACGGGCGGACAAGGCTGTCACCCGTGGTGGCATTTCGTGGGGGGAGGCATGAAGGCTAGAACTTTTGTGTGTGTGTGTTCGCTGGGAGGGTTGGGGTCTTGCCCAGTGAGCAAATCAGTGTAAGTTTGCCACTGAATATACCAATATGAAAGTCAATTTTTATTATTATTATTTTTTTTTTTTATATGAAGCTGTTCATTGGATTCAAATATCTTTTTTGGAAGGTTGTAGCTTAAGTTTTGTGATGAAAATTACAATTCTACTGCTACTGTTACTACCACCACTGCTGCTACTGCTACTACTACTACTACTACTACTACTACTACTACACCATTTATACTACTACTACACCATTTATACTACTACTGCCTACTACCTATTACTACTTTGAGTGTTGTTGTACCTTCTTGATGATGACCACTCCCTCCTGAGTGGTCTGGTCGGTGATGATGTTGAAGGTGTCATGGCCGCCCACGATGGTGTACTCCATCTGAGCGTTTCTCCCGATGTCGCGGTCGTCGGCTTTGATCCGCCCGATGGCCCCGCCCACATCCGTGGACTCCGCCGCCGTCACACGGAACGAGTCTGGACACATAGACACACAAACAAGGAGGGGTTAGATCAGTGTTAGCATTTGTGTTAGCATTAGTTTTAGCATCCGTGTTAGCATTTATGTTTGTGTTAGCCTTAGTCAGGGCTGTGTTGACTAAAGCAAGTACCGGTCGACTAAATAACAGCAGCGGCTTCACTTGATGCGGAAGCTCAGCTCTTTTAATGTATCGTCTAATATTTTAAATAATTTTTATCAGTCTTTTATTGAAAGTTTGCTGACCTTTTCTTTTATCTGTTGGTTTTATGGATTATCTGTGAAAGACAAGAACAGTCTGAACCAGATTGTAAAAGTTTGCAGCAAAATCAGTGGTGTTCAGACGGAGGATTTGGCCTCTGTGTGGAGACATCGGGTGTTACAAAGGACTAAGGCCATATTGAGCCAGCCTAGCCATGTGCTGCGCTCACAGTTCGTGAAGATGCCCTCCGGGAGGCGCTATGTCACCCCACAGCAAAGGACTAACCGCTACGCCAAATCTTTTATTCCTTCTGCCATAAGGATTTTAAACGGAAAGTGAATTTGTTGCTGTGTCCCTGATGCACTGTGGTTCGAACGTCTAGTGTCTGTCTTTCTTTCTCTTTATTATTTATATTTATATATTGTGCATGACCAGAGATGTGCGAACTGAATTGCCCTTTGGGATTAATAAAGTTGTTGATTGATTGATTGATTGAAGACATGTCCTGCCGATTGATTAGTCGACTAAAATCGGGGTGTGGCAAAAGCTCTCAAACTGTTACTGTAGTACCAGTAAACAATGTATTATAGGGCAGGGCAGTCTTGTGTGATGTCACATAGTACTTGAAATTGCAGAGGCCACTGAAGGCAGCACAAACTTAGGCATTTTTGACCAGAAAGCTGCAAATTTACCTAGTTTGTGTTAAAATTGCCCCCCAAAACAACCAGGATCAGTAGACAGTAGGGGTGTAATGGTACATGTATTAATGCCGAACCGTTTTGGTACAGGACGTTCATTTCGGTGCAGGGCTGTGCAGGCAAGTGAATTTGCGCAATTGGTGTGTTTTTACATTCCGCCACTACATGTGCAGCTACACAGAAGACTGGGCTCTTTAATATTCATGAGGGAACTTGTGATTGGGGTGGTAGTGTTTCCTGCAGAGCTTTATACTTAGGGCGACTACCGTGACAACAATTGACCCCCGCCTTGACAACGTCCCTCTGAACCACATGAATTGAAAGTGTATTTTCAGCCTCTGGGGACATTGTAACTGCAGCAGATCGGCACTTACTGCAGACTATGTGGATAAATTGTTTTTTCTGACCAAAAATATGAAGATTGAGTAAAACTTCATGCTAGAACTGTTAGTGCTGCATTAATTATTGAAATTTTTTGTTTACGGTTTACAAAGAATGTATTTTTTATAATATTTCATACATTTGTTGCTTATTTGAGAATATTTTATTTAACTTATTAGTATTACCAAGCAGCACATTGCATTTATTTTATTTTCCTGTTTGTATAATGTCAAAACAAATTGTTGGTTTAATTAAAACACAAATAAACAACAAGCAAATGGTTTTGTATTTTGTTCCAATACTGTACCGAAAATGAACCGAACTGTGACCTCAAAACCGAAGTACGTACCGAACCATGATTTTTGTGTACCCTTACACTCCTAGTAGACAATGCTATTAAAACACCCTATACACAGTTTAGTAGCAAATAAAACTGATTCAGTGTTTAGTTTTACTTTAAAGACCATCAGATATCTACACTAGAACAGAGAAAACAATGGTCTTTTATCAGGAAACGATAACAGTTCAGCTAATGACTTCACTATCTTATTAGCCGACTTCAGTAGAATACATTATCTTTAATTTATAGTATGTTTGAAGGTGTCAATAATGCTGTACTGTGAAACATTCCAGTTACAGCAGCAACATCCTCAACGACACGAGCAGGTAGCATCTGCGGTTCACTTCTTAATTACTCCGCTACTGACAAATTTATTGACACACTGTTATCCGCACGCGATCAGACTGGGAATACATGAGGAATAAATGAATGAAAAGAGGAGTATAAACATTGAAAACAGTGTAATCTAATTAGAAAACTTTACAAAACAATATCCACTGTGTCACATGTTATCTCCGTCCACATCGACATCAGCTCGGGCCATAATTGGATTGTGATAAGACTGGACTTAATAAGGACTACACTGAAACATGGTGTCCTGTTTTATTGCAGATAAGAAAGCAGCAATGTTTTTCTCATTACGCTTTGTTTTCGCGGCGAAATCTACAACGAGGCTACGCGAGGACAGAGCTAAACCCAGATCTGAACCCAAATGCAAAGAATAAATAAGATAACGTTTGTGTGACTTTTGAAATGGCAAAAAGATGATGGGGCGATGGGAAAACGCGGCTCAAAAACTCTCCTTGGCTTAGGTTTATCTGCTCAAACAAAGTGTTAGAATTCTCCAACTCTTCCACTACAGAAGAGGGACCACATTGGCTAAATGTAATTCATCTGTTAATTGTTGTCTTTACCAAAAAAAAACATATAATCCGACTGTTCAGAACCAGCTTTCTTCCACTGTTTGTTAAATTTGATTAAAATCTAGAAACACAAACACATTTTTCATAGATAGTGATAATGTTTTCCATTCATAGTGAGATTATTCCGGCTCCCCTAAAACATTTCATCAGTGTTTGTTTGATTAATGCTCCTGTACATGGTCCCTGTAAAAATAAAGTAAATAAACTAAACTAAATGAAACTGAACAATAAATTGGTATAAAAGCACATTTCAAGCACTTTTTGATGTTTGTATAATCATAAATATATACAAGTACCTTTATTTAATCTTCGCTTTATTTAATCAGTCTGTTATATTTGTTATTAGAGGTAATAAATGATGTTTAATGCAAAGTTTGTATTTTTTAATATATATATTTTTTTCCAAATAAATACAATCTGAGACAAACACTGACAGAAATTTGCGATATAAACTATTCATACTAGTCACTTCTTATTACTACATTACAATAAAACTGTTAAATGTGCATCGTGTAACTTTTGTGGCAAAAGGAGAAAGTAAATTTGTCAACTGGACAAACGTTTCTTGCTTCTTCAGTTCCTTATATCTGTCTGCAGGGAGGAGCTAACTACACTGAAACTACTCTGAAACTAACACACCTACTTGTTTACAGTTGGGTCAGTCCACGCCAAATCTCCGAATGTCCATATTCTACAAGTACATCTGACAAATTTTAAACCTTGAAAATTTGAAGGACCTACATTAAATAGTTTTTTTTTTTTTTTTTTTAAATACAGCAATCTGAAAGTGGCTCCTTGGAAAAATCTGCTCAAAACAGGTCAAGGCAGAGTCGACAAAATATCTTTTAATGACAAAACTATAAGGAGTTGGGAGCTAAAATTTGTGACTTTTCCCATTAGGAAGCGTGTAAACTTGCTAGAATTTTTTCAGTCAAATCTGGGATGGTCAGGCAGGGGCATTCGGAGATTTGGTGTGGAATGACCCAGTTTCTGTTAGTTAGCTTGGCCTGTTGAACTTGAACTTGAGTGTGGGGTCATTTTTGCAGAATCATTCAGGGACACGATGGAGCTTTCACACCTCTGGACCTGACCTGGCTATACATGTTGTTCTCTTTGTTTGTTTTGATTTAGGTTGAGGATGGAGTTGTAAATAGGAGGTACTGTAGGTGGTGTCTGAGTCCCCCATTTCTGTTCAAAGTTCTGTTCGTCTTTCCTAACAAAAATATCTTCTTTAACTCCCCTCTCAAACTAATTATTTTCTCTGGCTAAGATCTGTACCTCACTGTCCTCAAAGGAGTTGGCCGAGTCTTTTATGTGGAGATGTACAGCAGACTCAGGTCCTGTGTTGCTCTCTCGTCTTGTGAAGAGGCTGTTTTTTTTGTTTCTCCAGTGTAATTTTTTTGTGGAAGCTCCTCCAGTTGATTGTCTTGGCGATGTTGCTGTTTTGTCAGGAATGTTCCTCAATATGACATTATACCTATCACCATGGAGACATTCACTAGGCAGAGGTGATTACAGGTGAGATTTGTGTTTTTATTGCAAAAATAAATAAAACAGCACTTGTCCTGGTGGCTCAACTTGCGAGTCTTAATTCAGTTAATTCAGAAATGTTAAAAGTCATATTGTGGAACATTTCAATAATTAGTAAATAAGCAAATACTCAAAAAACATAAGTAATTCAATGTGTCTAACCTCTATTTCTCCCCTTTTTTTGAGTATGGTTGCCAGATGTTGAAAAAAACAAGCAAAAAAAACCCCAAACTTTTCCTCTAATTTAATCCGTAAAAAGACGATGTAGACTCACGGTTGGCGAATCTCGGCGGGCTGTCGTTGACGTCGGTGAGGGTGATGCTGACGGTGGTGGTCCCGGACAGACCCCCCATCTGCCCCGCCATGTCTTTGGCCTGGATCACCACCTGGTACTGCTCCCTCACCTCGCGGTCCATCCCGGGGAGCGCCGTCTTTATGGTGCCTGAGACGGAGACGGGAGGAGGGGTCAGGTGGAGGTCAGGGGTCAGTGAAGCAATAAAGCAAACACCAAAATACTGATACAGATTTTTACTGACTGAGAGTAAAAAAACAACTTGTAATGTCATGTGGCAATACAGGAAATACTCCACATACTCTCATCTATGTTATAATGATATTTCTTCATCAAAAACACCCCTGGAGTTGTGTTTTGTTTCATTCACTCATTTAAACTAGTGCTGTCAAAAAAAAAAATTAAAAATCAGATTAATCACACTTTAGAATTTTGATTAATCATGTTTAATCATAGGTATTCTTCAAATAAAGACCCAAAATATTTACTGACAACATTGCCGCGGGTGCACTGCACTCTCGCTCTGTGAGTGAATCAAACTAGTATTTGAAATATATCTCAAATTTTACCAGGTCTTCGGTATTTTTTGTCTTAACTACATGAAAATTGGCACTGCACCCGCCCCATTAGGATGACACCCTCCTAATTCGAGATCGGTCGGAAGAGCGGTTCAAGAGTTATGCTTGGAACAGGCAAACACAGAGACAGACGTTCCTTGCATTAATCGATAGATGATACAGTATCAATATCATGGGCTGATGTATCGATATATCTCCAAGAATAGTTTTTTGGTATATTTATATTTTAATGTTTGTGTTTCATATGAACTTGCACAAGAAGACTTTTAGTATCACAGCCATGATTTAACCTTTATTTTTCATTCAACCATATCGAATAGATTTGAAATATATTATATCGAATCAAAAGCTCACTGTGTCAAGGTATGTATTGTACCGTGGCCTTTGTATTGAAGTATGTATCGTATCGTGGCCTATGTATCGAGGTACGTATCATATCGTGGTCTTTGTATCGAGATATGTATCGTATCGTGGCCTATGTATCGAGGTATGTATCGTATCGTGGCCTATGTATCAAGCTATGTATCGTATCGTGGCCTATGTATCGAGGTATGTATCGTATCGTGGTCTATGTATCGAGGTATGTATCGTATCGTGGCCTATGTATCGAGCTATGTATCGTATCGTGGTCTATGTATCGAGGTATGTATCGTATCGTGGCCTATGTATCAAGGTATATTTGGTATCGTGGCTCATGTATCAAGGCATGTATCATATCGTGTGTTTTTCATATGAACTTGCACAAGAAGACTTTTAGTATCACAGCCATTATTTAACCTTTATTTTTCATTCAACCATATCGAATAGATTTGAAATATATTATATCGAATCAAAAGCTCACTGTGTCAAGGTATGTATTGTACCGTGGCCTTTGTATTGAAGTATGTATCGTATCGTGGCCTATGTATCGAGGTATGTATCGTATCGTGCCCTATGTATCGAGCTATGTATCGTATCGTGGTCTATGTATCGAGGTATGTATCGTATCGTATCCTATGTATCGAGGTATGTATCGTATCGTATCCTATGTATCGAGGTATGTATCGTATCGTGGTCTATGTATCGAGGTATGTATCGTATCGTGGCCTATGTATCGAGGTATGTATCGTATCGTGGCCTATGTATCGAGGTATGTATCGTATCGTATCCTATGTATCGAGGTATGTATCGTATCGTGGCCTATGTATCGAGGTATGTATCGTATCGTGGCTCATGTATCGAGGTATGTATCATATCGTGGCCTACGTATCGTATCGTGGCCTATGTATTGAGGTATGTATTGTATCGTGGCCTATGTATCGAGGTATGTTTGGTATCGTGGCCTATGTATCGAGGTATGTAACTTCTAAACGATACCCGGCTATGTAAATAATCACTACTAACTTTCTACGACCAGAACTTCTTTTCCGTCGAGCAGAAGTTAGCGCGCCCGAAAAAGTCTTAAAAGTTTAATTGCTCCAAAAGTCGCGCTAATAAATGAAACTCAGTGGTACTTAAACTACCTGGAAACAGCACATTATATTCAGAGCTGTCTCCAAATTGAAAGCAAATTACAGATGGGGAAATGCGCTGTCCTATTGAATCTTTAATTTGTATGAGATCGAAGGCTCTTATGCCGACCGCACATCTTGTTTGGAAGTAAAAAGCTCCAGTGATTATATCGATTATCTCATCCAGAGCCAGAACAAATGTAAACAAGCTCCTTCCCCTCGCAGACAGACTGAGAATGGGGCCCGGCATTCGGAAACTCGCGAATTTGTGAGAAAAAAAACAAAAACAAAACAAGAAGAACATGGCGGATTTGACAGCAACAACTTAAGCTTTTGAGAAACATTATGTCGCCATCGTTGAAATAACCGGTTTGTACTTTTGCCAACGACTTAACAGCTGCTTTCACACGTGTCCGTCACAGTTTCTTATGCAATAATAAGCAGCCGGGGTTTAGTTCAAGTTTGGTTCAAGTACACATCTGAAAATGGGTGCATCTACCGTTATGTGATTTCAACCAAACTTTTAAAAGTGTTATTATGTTGTTTCCTCATCGCAAACAGAGCTGGAGTGTGTTTTGTTTCATTCACACGTACTGTCAAGGTCCCAAATTATGACAAATTGACTCTTGTGAGCTTTTAGTCGTGTTATAATGTGGTTATCCCTTCAAAAACAGACCTGGAGTCGAGTTTTGATGCATTCACAGGTTTGAGTAAGACTTTATAATCCGTGTATCATTCGTTTGTTCGTTTTTTTTTTTTCAAAATAAAAGGAAAAATAAGAAAACGAAAAACAACAATTTTCTTCATTATTTGTCTGAATCACGACTGAACCAGTAGTGAACCAGAACTGATCCCAGGACTAAAACAAGACTACACCAGGACTAAACCAGGTCTAAACAGGGACAAAACTGGTCTCAGTCCTGGTCTGGTCCCGGTATCAGTCCTGGTCTGGTCCCAGTCTCAATGTCTCAATGGTCTCAGTCCCGGTCTGTAATAATCCTTGTGTTTATAAGCTGTTGCTACTATAAATCCATCCATTCAAGTAAAGGATTCTGTAATTCCATTTATTGTGACAGCCAACGATACTCCATCCATCCATTTTCTTCTGCTTCTCCGGGGCCAGGTCGCGGGGGCAGAAGTCTAAGCAGGGACTCCCAGACTTCCTTCACCCTGGACATTTAAATGGTCACATTTTTCTATAGCGCTTTTCCACCTCTAGCGCTTTACAACAAGGAACCACTCACCCATTCACACACCAGTGTACACAGACACTGGGGGCAAGGTGGGTTAAGTGCCTTGCCCAAGGACACAACAACAGCATTCATCTGTGGGAGCTGGAATCATGCCATCCAACCTGTGGGTGGGTGTTCCCAGGCCAGTCGAGAGACATAGTCCCTCCAGTGTGTCTTGGGTCTTCCTCCCGGTGGGACATACCCTGAACACCTCCTGAGTTAGGCGCCCAGGAGGCATCCGGAACAGATGCCCGAGCCTCAGCTGGCTCTTCTTGACGTGGAGGAGCAGTAGCTTTACTCCAAACTCCTCCCGTGTGACTGAGCTCCTCATCTTATCTCTAAGGGAGCGTCCAGCCCCCCTGCGGAGGAACTCATTTCGTATCCACGATCTCGTCCTTTTGGTCATTACCCAGAGCTCATGACCATAGGTGAGGGGAGGAACGTAGATTGAGCAGTAAATCGAGAACTTTGACTTTCGGCTCAGCTCCCTCTTCCGATACAGCGACCGCATCACTGCAGACGCTGCACCGATCCACCTGTCAATCTCACGCTCCATCCTCTCCTCACTCGTGAACAAGACCCAGAGATACTTGAACTCCTCCACTTGAGGCAGGACCCAACACCCACCCGGAGACGGCAAGCCCACGGTATTATTGTGAGACTTTTGACGATACAATATCACAATATTTCGGTTATTGTTACATCCCTAGGAAACAGCATTAGCATTTTGCATTTATTACAGTTCTGACATGACCTACATTATTTCTCAAAAAAAAAAAACACCCGCAGAAATAGATTGTGAGCATATTTAGTCTCGTATTGGACAGAATGACCCCATCTGCGAAACCAGATCCAATTCAAAACAATATAGGCCTATTAGTTTGAGAGCGCCCCCCCGAGAGAGCGCCCGTTTGCCCCCGACTCCGCGCACGTCTGTGGGTTTGTAAACAGAGCGCAGGTGGTCCACGGGGGGCCCCGGTTCGGTTCGGTTTAACGTGAGACCGGAGCGAGGGCGAGTGAGAGAGAGCGTGTGTTTGATTTGCGTTGACGGAGACTCACCGTTTTCCGAGTCGACGGAGAAATACGGCTGTCCCTGGAGGATACTGTAGACCAGCTTGGCACTGTTCCCGTATGTCTGATCGTCCGCATCTGTGGCAGTGATGGTGACTACAGATGTACCTGTGGAGAGAGGGAAGAGAGGGAAGAGAGGAGGAGAGGAGGAGAGAAGGTGGGGGGAGAAAGAGAAGAGAGACAAAGAGAGACAGGGAGAAGGAGAAATAGGGGAAGAGAGGAAGAAAATGGGGGTGAAGAGAGAAAGAGAGTGAAGGTGCGGGGGTGTGAGAGATGGAGGGACAGAGAAGGAGGAAAGACGGGAAGAGAGGAGGGAGAGAGAGAGCAAGTGAAGGTGGGGATGTCAGAGAAAGTGAGAGAGAGAGAGAGAGAGAAGGTGGGTGTGTGAGAGAAAGAGAGAGAGACAGAAAGAGAGGGGGAGATAGATAGAGAGAGAGAGAGTGAAGGTGGAGATGTCAGAGAAAGAGACAGAACGATGGAAAGAGATGAGAAAGGAAGAGAGAGGGGGTGAAGAAGAGTGTGAAGGTGGGGTTGTGAGAGAAAAAGAGAGAGATAGAGAAGAGGGAAAGAGGGGGAGAGAGAAAGAGAGAGGGTAGGTAAAGAGAGAGAGAGTGAAGGTGCGGGTGTGAGAGAGATGGAGAGACACAGAGGGGGAAAGAGGGGAAGAAAGGAGGGAAGAGAGAGACAGAGAGAGAGATAGAGAGAAGGGGAGAGAGAGGGAGAAAGAGAAAGAGGGGAAGAAAGGAGAGAGAGAGAGAGACAAAGGGGGAAAGAGAGGGAGAGGAAGGGGGGTAAAGAGAGAGAGTGAAGGTGGAGGTGTGAGAGAGATGTAGAGACAGAGAGGGGGAAAGAGGGAACGAGAGGAGGGAGACAGACAGAGAGAGAGAGAGAGAGAGAGATGGGGTGTGAGAGAAAGAGAGAGAGACAGAAAGGGGGAAAGAGAGGAAGAGAGGAGGGGAAGAGAAAGAGGGTGAAGGTGAGGATGTAAGAGATAAAGAGAGGGAGAGACAGAAAGAGAGGAGGAGAGAGAGAGAAGAAAGAGAGAGAGAGTGAAGGTGGGGATGTCAGAGAAAGAGGGGGAGAGTGGAAGAGAAAGGAGGGGAAAGAGAGAGAGTGTGAAGGTGGGGGTGTGAGAGAAAAAGAGGGAGAGAGAGAGACAGACAAAGGGAAAGATGGGGAGAGAGGAGGGGGTAGAGAGAGAGTAAAGGTGGGGGTGTGAGAGAGATGGAGAGACACAGAGGGGGAAAGAGGGGAAGAAAGGAGGGAAGAGAGAGACAGAGAGAGAGAGAGAAGGGGAAAGAGAGGGAGAGAGAAAGAGAGGGGAAGAGAGGAGAGAGAGAGATAGAAGGGGGAGAGAGGAGGCAGAGAGACAGACGGGGGGAGGGAGGGAGAGAGGAAGGGGGATGTGAGGGAGATGGAGAGACAGAGAGGGGGAAAGAGGGGATGAAAGGAGGGAGAGAGAGACAGAGAAGGGGGAAGAGAGGGATAGACAAAGAGAGAGGAGGGTAAAGAGAGAGAGAGAGGTGGGGGTGTGACAGAGATGGAGAGAGGGGGAAAGAGAGGAGAGAGAGAGAGAGAGGAAGGGAGAGGGGGTAAAAAGAGGGAGAGTGAAGGTGGGAGTGTGAGAGAAAGAGAGAGAGAGAGAGAGGTGGAGAGGCAGAGAGGGGAGGGAAAGAGAGGGGAAATGAGGGAGAGCGAAAGTGAAGAGAAGAAGAGAAAGAGATATACAGAAGGGAAGTAAAAGGAAGGGGAGCGATGGAGAGAACGAAAGATGGATAGAGAGAAGAAGTAACGAGACGGAGAGATGGAGAGATTGGGAGCAAAAGGAGGGGATGAGAGGGAGAGATTGGGAAGTAAAGCCGGGTATAGAGAAGAGAGAGAGATGGAGGTTGTTAAGTGAGAGGGAGAGAGAAAGAGGGGAGAGGAAGGAAGTAAAGAGACAGGAAAAAAAGAGGAGAAGGGCATATTATGAAGTGAAGGGAAAGAGAGAAAGGGGAGAGAGAGAGAGAAAGAAAGAGAGGAGACAGAAGAACAGGAAACATCAGTGTAAACAATGATGCATTATACAAAAAAAAAACAAAAAAAAAACATGCACACAGTCACCTCCTTAAATTTGTTTGGAAAAGCCATTGGTACAAATCGGCGGCCACCTCTCCGTCTCTCCGCCTCAGGGCAGCTGTGGCGAGAGAAGTCACTACCACCGGAGATTAAACCGTGAATAGAGCAACATGGACAAAAGCACTACAGAGCTGTTTTTTTTTTTTTTTCTTTTCTTCTTTTTTTTTCTTTTTTCATAAACATGTGTCCTGTCCTGATGGATGGATTCTAAGTGCAGGGTACAATGACCTCTGTTACAGACACAAAACACCGCTCTCGCTCTCTCTCTCTGTGGGTTTAGAGTGATATTAAAGCTCAATCTGGACATAAATAACACAGTCGCCGCGGCAACAGAGAGGCAGAGGGCGGGGCTTATGACCACTGTCCTTGGAGGATGAAGGAGAGAGAGAAAGAGGAGAGAGGCGGAATAGGCAGATTACCTTTTCGTTTGTGTTCGCGTGTCGTGCACGTAATGTCCCGCTCTACCTGCCCGTCTCCGTGAAGATACAGTGCGTCCGGAATGTTCCGCAGTGTGGCGTTAAACTCGTCAATCTCCGTCGAGGCAAGGAACGAGTAAGATTTGTGGAGAGGCGATCCCGCTCACAATAAGAATGCATACCAGTACATTTCTTTGGCAATTTTAATCCCATTTTGTGGAACATTACGGAAAATGCAGTAACATCTCCATGGAGACAAGCAGGCGACGGACTCCTTGACTCCTAATAAAAGTTACACATTTAACCTTTAAAGCCAAAAGTTCAGTAAAATACCATAATGTCAGTGTAAGATGGACATATACGTTTTGGACTTTCCCTTATGCCACACAATATAACTGAGAAATATAAAAATAAATGTTGACTGGAATAAAAATGTACCAACAATACAAGGTTTCAAATCCCACTGAGACCAGACCACAGACCGGACCAGAGACCAGACCACAGACCAGACCAGAGACCAGACCACAGACCTGAACAGATGGACCAGAAGGACCAGATGGACCAGAGGGACCAGAGTCCAAAGTCTGGAGATCAGAGATCAGACCAGAGACTAGATGAGAGACTAGACAAGAGACCAGACAAGAGACCAGACCAAAGACCAGACCAGAGACCAGAGCAGACCAGAAGGACCAGAAGGACCAGAGACCAGAGGGACGAGAGATCAAAGACTGGAGATAAGACCAGAGACTAGACCAAAGACCAGACCAGAGTCCAGACCAGAGAGACCAGAGAGCCCAGACAGACCAGGGCAGAGACAAGAGAAGCGGGACCAGAGACCAGACTGGAGACCAGACCAAAGACCAGACCAGACCAGAGAGACCAGACCAGAGAGACCAAAGACCATAGAGTTCACACCAGGGAATCCATATCAGAGAGTCCAGAGAGACCAGATGGGACCAAAGACCAGAGACCAGACCACAGACTAGACCAGAGACTAGACCAGAGTCCAAACCAGAGACCAAACCAGAGACCAGACCAGAAACCAGAGCAGAGAGACCAGAGACCAGAGAGACCAGACCAGAGAGACCGCAGAGACCAGAGACCAGAGAGACCAGACCAGAGAGACCAGACCAGAGGGACCAAAGACCAGAGACCAGATCAGAGACCAGACCAGAGAGACCAGAAATGAGAAAAGAAACCAGACCAGACCGGACCAGACCGGAGGAACCGGAGGGACCAAAGGGTTGAGAGGGACCAGAGAGACCAGAGACCAAAGACCAGAGACCAGAAATCAGAGACCAGACCAGAGACCAGACCAGAGACCAGACCAAAGGCCAGATCAAACCAGAAAAAAACAGAGAGACCAGAAAAACCAGACACGCCAAAGACCAGAGAGACCAGAGACCAGACCAGGTATTAACTGCAAACACATATTTAGATCACCTTTTTACCTTTTAATATTTTGAAATACCCCCTCCCTTGGCTCTCTGCACTAAGCCACTCCCCCTTCAGAGCTCCATCACAACACAACCTGCACTAACCACATCACGTCACACCAGGTTTGTGAAGTTGTAGCGCACAGTTTTGTATCATGTTTTTGTACATTTATTAAGATTTATCGCATGGGATCTTGGGTGACATAGACTTGTGGGCGGAGCTTTGCACAGAATCGTACTACTAACCGTAAAGAGCAGTTGAATAGAGACCAGGAGAGATCACTAGATTCCACAAACATGCACGGATGACATCTAAAACCACTTCAGGCATGTTTTCGATAAGGAAAAAAACGCTATAACACGGCAGAAAACTCCAAAAATTTTCACATGTATTTAAATAACTGTACAGTATGTTAGATCTTATACCACTTTTTAAATATTTGCACAGACTTATCAAGCTGTGAGGTAATTTATTTAACCATCAGAGGAAGCCCGAAGTCTTTTTTAAACTAATAGCTCCTTTCAGTTTTCTGCCAAATACAGTAAAAACAGGTCAAAACGTATTTTCATAAAACGTGCCAAGACGCTGGAGAAGTGTAATAATACTGGAACAGCCCTGGCTTATGTGCTAATTACAGCCTCGCATTTCAAAGACAGACCCTGCGCCGGTTTGATTGACAGGTTAAAACACGCCACATCTCTCCTCAGCTTTTGAACGCTCCGGCTCTAAATATTGTGACTCTCTTCCCTCTGTATTGTTGCGGCTGATTACTTGAATTTTAATTAATAGCCTTTGAGAGTTTATGAATTTATGCATTCCTTATTTTATGCAAATTTCCGGGACAGTGTTAATTATGCTGCTGCCACTCAGTATGGTGTTAAAAAGTGGGAAAATAGGTCCATTAAAAAAAATAAATAAAGGAAAAACAAGTCTAAGCCACGTTCAATACGCTGCTTGTCACGAGAAGCGTAAACATTACATAAACTCTGTAAGTATTTGATCGGAGCTAATGTCGCGAACGAAAATGCAAATTGGAGTTTCATTTGTACATTATTTAGAACAGTTTACAGTTTACAAAGACTAATAATGTTTTGGATTTTTATGTTTCTTTAATGAACACTCAAAGATACACTAGAA